ATTGTACTACTGTTTTCCAAAATTGGATGAATAAACGCAACTCTTGCAGTCTGATTAGAGGCAAAAAAAAAAATAAATAAAAAATAAATATTTTTTTAATATAAATAAATATAACAAAAATATATATTATAATATAATATATTGTATATAATTTAAAAAATAAATATAAACCAATAATATAATTTATTAATATAATGTTAAATTATTTATAAAAATATTTTTTATAATTTAAATATAAAATATTTCAAAATTTTGAAAAATAATAATATATAATAACAATTTTTTATTTTATAAGTAAGTATTATATTAATTATATCAATTAATTAATATTATATTTAATAAAATGAAAGCTATGATTTTATTTAAAAATAATTTCATAATTTCAATATAATTATTTTAATAATTATTTTTAATTTATATTTTAATTTCTTCAATACTTAATAAAAAATTTTTTTTAATTTAAATTGTTAATTATTAAGATAATGGGAATTTTTTTTTAATCAAAATTTTATTTTTTAAAAATATATATTAGCAAAAAATTAATTGGTTTTTTTAAAAAAAAAATTATTAAAATAATTAATCTAATATACTGTATATATTAATTTTAATAATATAAGTTTATTTTTGAATAATTTTATTATTAAAATTTAAAAATAAATAAATAAAATTTTTGTATAGTTTTTTTTTAAATTATTTATATTTCAATTTTAAAAACACCCTATATTGTATATTAATTCACGAATATAATTGTTAGGATGCTCAGTCCATTGTTTCTTATACGGTGTCATATAAAATCTTTGGCAGATGGATTGTAACACATCACTAATAATTGTATCCACATGCGGATGGCTCCATCAAGCAATGCCCACAGAAAGATCCCACGGGCTCAATGTCTTAGTTTATGACTGTATTACAGTTGCTGCATTTGTAAACTACTCTTCTACCGATGTCTTGGATGTCCCCGCAACAACAGCAGTCTCGGAAGTGTACACCTCATCCTGTACGATCACTATCACGCCGGACTTGTGTTTCGGCCGCTGCCAGAACGCGTAATGTGACCACGGTGAGCAAGAAATTCTTTTTCCTGCGAGGACTGATCTCTGCTTCGGGCTGGAGACATGTAATTCTTGGGGGAAGTGGTAAAACCGGTATTATCTGGAAACTATTTCGAGATCTCATTCCCATTTCTGAAAGTTGACCAACGACGAGCGGACAAGAACATTTTTTGTTCGTGGATCAGGAGCCCTTTTATATTGGATTAATAATCATGTAATTCATTTTTATTTTAGAATAGGTTGATTGTATTGTTGATAATCAAATAGTTATTAGCGGTCACAAAAATCAAAATAATACCCACGTATGCAACCTTCGAATATTCTAAAGGGAGTGTATCATCAATATTTATGATAATGTGGTCGTAAATAGCTTGAGGAATAACAAATAATCAACACAAGTATCTCGTTATCACTGAAAGATCTATTATCGATTGATGGGAAAAAATTTTTTTTGTAAATCACGTTAATAAGGACGAGTTCATTGATCTTTTACATTGTTTAAACCCATCCTCGCTGAAAATTGAATATCTTCAAATCCCCAGCAATTTTTCTTAGGCGTGTATCAATTGCTTGATTAGCCAAGAAAGGGTTCAAATAGTTTGATATAGCTTTGGTTATTATTATCCACCCTCTATGAATGACCTTAATTCACAAGAGCTCAAGCAACAAAGCCGAATCATTGTAGTGAATGCAAAAAAAGGATTCGTGCAATAAGATAGACTTACCCGAAATGTTTGAAAAAGAATTCACGTATCGTATTACAGAAGGAAAGAAAATAAGAAAAAAGATTGCCACATGAACGTACCACATACATGTATGGTAAGTAAGGGATACGTAATGATTTACGGTGTATGTGCTACAAAAGGTGCGACAAATTCGTATGAAACATTCACTGCATCATATAGGGCTCATTTTAGCAAATGCAATCTTAATCTTGTTCTTGAAAAGTTTTTTGAGAATGAATCGAATTTATACGATATAAACGCGAAGTGTTCATTAATTAATTTTAATAGTCTGTACAGTAACTAGAACAAGATCTCGATCTTATTTAATACACATATCATATAAACGCATTCGCTATTGCTAGAGCATACATGGCATGCAATCAACCCCAACTTCCGTTCGACTGTATTCTGGAAATCTTAAAATTTCTTCAGAACGATTACAGATCATTATTATCCTGTATACAGATCAATCGAACATGGTGTCAACTGGTCATTCCTCAAATATGGCGCCGACCTTTTGAAAATCTCCTATGTAGAGAGGAAGGAGCAAAACTGATTCAAATTTACGTTTCCTTGTTCGATGATTCCGAGATACAACAATTAAATGCTGCCAATATCACCTTACCAAATACACCTAAACCATTATTTAATTATCCTGAATTTTTACGTGAGTTGGACGTTGATCACTTTCAAGTGGCAGTTCAAGATTGGCATTGGATGTTGATGAGTAAGAATCAAAGCACTATTGCTCTAACACCGTCCCGTAACAAGCTTGTCGGAGGTTTGATATTTAGTCATTGTAATGGATTGTGTCATTTGAACATTAACACGATAAACAGTTATTTGGAAGACGTCTCGGTGTGGAAGGGCGCTCAGCTGGCGTTATCGACCCTTCAGAAATTAGAAATTCAATACGATTCAGGACTCGAGGCATTCCATGAAGAAAAAATCTCTTCATTATTTGACTTCCTATCTTCTTTCTCCAGGGACATTAGAAAAATTTCAATTAACATTGATATCGATTTCATGTTGGATGGAGGCCTCTCAAATGCTGGTCTCGCATTCTCAAAGTTGCTTAGGTCACAGAAACATGTTAAAATCTTAGAAACAAACGAATTTTGGGATTGCAATTCTTCGTCGATTATTTTTAATGCACTACAAGTGCAAGCAAAATCTTTGACATCCCTTAAGATCAATGGTATAACTAGGATGGACCTGCTATTCCCAGTGTTAACCTCATGTCAAAACCTAGAAACATTGTCCTTAAATGGAGTAGAGGATTCGTATTACATGGATATTAATGATGCCTACTTTTCACCTTTGACTTCTCTGAAATTAAAAAACCTGGACTGTTGGGGTTATTTTGATCATCACAGTACTCTAGAACTCATAATGTTGGTCCTTAAAATGACGAATTCTAACCTCAGAACCCTAAGAATTAAGAAAGTCACCGCACCATTCATGGATGCCATCAGTCAATATTGTCCAAATATTAATAATCTCACCCTTGTCATTTCAAGTAATGAATATCCAAATCTTTTACCCTTGTTTGGTTCGCTTCATAGTCTCACTCATTTGTCACTGGGTGTTGTAAACAAAAAAACCGAACAAAGCAGACATCAAATCTATCTATTTACCGAAAAGATAATCAGGTCACTTCCCTCCACGTTAGAATATTTGGCTATTGACTTTAATATTAACATCAGAGATTGGAAAATGTTTTTTCGGAATTGTAGACTAAAGCTTAAAGAATTAGTATTACATCAGAGAGAATTGATTCAAGATTCTTATTTAAAAGTGGTGGTGGACTATGCAAAGGAGTTCGAAAGCTTGAAAGTGTTAAAATATCAACGCCCTTATTCCTGGTATGGGGGTAGCTTTTCCTCCAAGGCTTTGAAAGAGGCTAAATGTTTCATTCCAACTATCGAGTTAGCAAAGCCTTTTGGTGAATTGGTTTACGATGCGTAATACCCGCATCTACGCACGCGCACCGATCCCATTTTAAATTTAATTTATTCAACGGAAGAAAATCATTTTTGAAATACCTCACTCGATGTGGATTACTGTAAATACTAGACATTTATTTATTGTCAATTTTATTCTATCCAGTTATCTTATATTCAAGCAAAATTATGTATACTTTTTTTGATGTAAATTCTCAATGTAAGGTATAACTGATATTTTTTAAAAAATTTGCATCTTGAGGTTTTTTTTCCCCGGGTGGGAATATCTTTGGAAATATTTTCGATATTCAATATATATTTAAGTAAGATCATTATAAAATCCATTCGTTACTGCGATCTATTCCATATTCTTCAATATATACAAATTTTTATATACAATATATCCATTACTTATTAATCCAAGGTGAAGGTCGCGGGTTAATTGGATAGACGCGAAACATGGAAAGATGGATGAATACTGTATAATATAAACGAATGCTTTTTATTCTTTACGTGTTGTTTAAATGAAGAAACATGAATGGCGATGTTTTGTCGAAAATAGCAAAAACCTGCTCGGGAAAAATTTATTGTGCTTATAATATTCACACGTCCTACTATCGAAACGAAGGGTGTTTTTATTACCATTTGAATTTTTTTAAAAAAATCAACATTTATTTTTTTAAGGTAAATAATTTATTTATAATTATCATTGGAATTTTGAATTAATACCAAAATAAAATCAAAGGATGTTGATTTATGTTAGGTTCAATATATAAATTATAATTTGCTTTGTTTATATGAAAAAAAAATAAAAATTTTAGTATCGAAATAATATTAAATAACATCAAAATGATGTTATTATTAAAAAAAAATTTAAAAAAAAAAGAATTAAAATTAAACTTTAAAAATATTTTATTAAATTTAAATAAATTTAAATAGATTAATTAATTGCCATAATTAAAATATAAACATATCTTTGAATTTTAGATACAGTATAAATGCTATATGTTTAAATAAAATAAATAAAAATTAATATTATATAAAGAAATAAGGTTTTCAAATTTATCAAATTTATTATTATTTTCGAATAAAGCTTATGATTTATAAATTTTAAGATAAAAATTTTTCAAGTACATATTTTATATCAGATATACTGTAATATTAAAATTAAATACGATAAATCCCGATATATATTTTTTTATTCGTCGATCATTATATTTAATGTAACATTTAATAGATCAAAAAAAGTTCTTATCATGTAGCGAGTGCATTTATCGAAAATCTAATAACAACATTAGGATACCCTTAACATCAACATTTTACAATGCAAATTACTCGTACCTTGTTTAATGCTGCTCAAAAGGTTCGCGTGTTGTAAGTTTAATTACCACTTTTTATCACAAAACTAATCTTATTTCCTTGCTCATTTTCTCATTCGACAATAAGACAACCACAGAACTTTTCGGGTTGGCAGTTCACCCGAACCCACGACCTCACTTACTCAATATATATAAGAAGACTTTAGAATCCCTAACACAGATTCCACCGACTGCTGTTTATCGTCAAGCCACTGAAGCTTTGACACAACATCGTCTCTCGATTGTAGAGTCAAACGAAGATGTAAAAGAGATTGAGAGCAAGATTGGAGCTGGAATAATTGAAGAAGTCATTTGGCAAGCAGAAGACGAACTTAAATTATTGGATAAGGTTAAGGAATGGAAAGTGTAAGTTTAACATTTAATATTTGTTGATTATTCGATATTTATTCCTTAGAACTAAATGAATCTTCGTACGATGCAAATTTATTTTTCTAGATGGGAACCGCTTGAAGAACCACCACCAAAAGGACAATGGCAATAGTATGTCAAAAATAAGATTTGTTAAAAATTTAACTCAAAATTTGTAAATAACATTTTTAAACAATTTTTTTTAAAAATACATATTTTTGAACAAATAAAGATTTTATAATTTCACAAAGTATTTATGAATCTAATAACAAATCGCGATATATAAGTATTATAACTGTTATATATAATATAATATATGTTCTTATAAAATTTACATAAATCATTAAAATTATTTTAATGTATAGTAAAAACCCATTAAATAAAAATATGCAAGATTATAAAATCCCGAATTTATGAATCAAAAAAAATTTTTTTTTATAAATATACAATATTTATAAATTATAATTTTCATTATATCAAATTTCTTGTAATTAAACAAAAAAATATACAGTATATTATAATAGAAAACTTATATTAAAATTTTTAAAAACTACTGATTTTTTTGTTAATTTAAAAAATAGATATTTTTAAAAAATTTTATATTTTCTGATAACAAAGTCCATATACTTTTTACAACACTTTGTTTTTTAAAAAACTGATAATTCTTGCTTATTTTTATTTTTTCAAAAACTTATATATTTTAGCAACAAAATAAATAAAGTTTTATCTATTTAACTTATAACAAAAACATTTTATTAAAACAAAAAAATCTATTAAAAAAATTTTTTTTTACTATATTTTTTTAAAATTTAAAACTTTAGAAAATAAACTATTAATAATATACAGTATTTTTTAAATTTATAAAAATCTTAAGCTTATTATAAATCTTTTGATAAAGTAAATAAATAAATAAATAAAGCTTATCTATTTGAATATACTGTATATACTATATATATAACAAAATTAAATTCAAAAAATTTTTAAAAACAATATTATAATAAAATTATTAAACAATATATAATAAATAATTAAAAATTAAAAAAAAAACTTTTTTTTATATATAAATATTTTTTTTATTTTTAATACTTAAAATTTATTTGTATTTTTTTATTTTTATTATAAAAGCTTTAAAAAACTAAAGAAATATATTAAAATATTAAGATTAAATATTTGATTAAAAAAAACAAATTTGAAATTTTGTTTTTTCTTTGAATTATATATAAAAAAGCTTATAACAATTACTTTTTTATAAATTTTTTTTGAAATTCTTTCTATTTATTTTTTATTAATATATAATTTTTATTAAATAATTATATTGTTGCTTTAAAAATTTAAAATTTAAAATTTGATTTAAAAATTAAAAAAAATTTTTCCTATTTCCTTTTTTGCACTTGAAAAATTTTTTTTTAAGAAATTTTTAAGTTGTTTATTTTTTTCCTTTTCTTTCCTTTATTGTTTCCTTCTTCATATTCTATTATTTTCCTTTTTTATTTTTTTTTTCTCTTTTCAAAACTTTCTTTTTTACTTTATTATCTTATCTTTTTTCTTTTTTCTTATTAAAGCTAGTTTTTCTCTTTTTTCTAAAGATTTTTCTTCTTAGATCTCTATCTCTTTTATAAATATCATTTCATAATATCAACTCTCTAGCTAGTTAACTTCTCTTTCTCAAGAGTTATATTAAGAATCAATAACTTTTTTCAAGATGTGAACTTTAGAATTTTTCTCTTTTATGGCTTTATCGAAAAATAAGGACAGGCTTACACTCTCCAAAAGATTGACATGTTATTATTATCAAATTCAATGTAGTTTACTTGCTGATAATGAAACTAAATACATCTAAAAAACTAGTGTACAACTATTATTATTCAAAACCTTCAAAGAATTGTATTTTACAATATTCAAAATGATATGGTAATTAATGTCAAGGGAACCAGTGTAGTTATAGGTGTCATGCTGGTGATTCAATAGTATAGTAAGATAATATGTGAAAACTAGAGATTCTAGTTATTCCTATAATATGAACTAGTAACAACAATGAAAGTTTCTTACTCATCTTTTCAACATTACAGGTTTTGATATACAAGGTTAAATAACAACATTTATAAGAAATTTCAACTCCATTACATCCAACAATTCTTCTTAACAATTATCACTACATGTCCAATATTCCTTTTCTATATTCTCCTACCTTATACTCACTAGTCCAAATTGGATTATTCGGCTGCCAAATTACAGCTGATTAAATTCAAATTTATTAATAAAAGTTTATACTGAAGTTTTGTTGCTTGATCCAATTTATGCCATTTGACACTTTAAAAAAATCTAATAATTCAGCAAAAAAAATATAACATTCAACAATAAAATCATTTGGCAAAAAAATATTTCTAGTTAAAAAATATTCAACAATAAAGTTACAACATTCTATAATAAAAATTATAACATTTGACAAAATTATTTAGTATTATATACTTTGGTAAAATCAAATTATATATTTTCAATAGAAAAATTATATTTATAATAATATTTGGCAAAATTTAATTAATATTTAATAAATTTATTAAAAATATAAAAAATATAAAATTTGAAATAATTATTCGCTAGTTATTTATTAATTATTTGCTAATTCTTCATTAATTAATTATT